GCTACTAGTTTTTTTATGGATGCATATAAGACAGCCACAGCACGAAACTACGGATATCTGTTTTTAGATTATAAAGCTTGTACGCCTGATATTCTTCGCGTCCGTGGTTCAGTACTGCATGAAGAAGTTGACAAGTACCAGCGAGTTTACTCTATACATACTGCGGGTATGGATGAATATGCCTTATTTCCCATCAGCGATATTCCTAACAGCCGGAAACCATCGCAGAAAAAACAATTTCATACAAAAAAGCGGAGATCTAAATTACCCCTCAAGAAAGAAAAACGAAATCATAAACAGCGAGCAAAAGAGAACAACTTACGTTAAATATAACCATATGTTAAAAATATGAGGTGATTTTAAAGAATCTGTCATTAAAGTTGATTATATGTGGGGTATGTGCATATATGATATAGAAAATTCCCAATAAATCATTTTAAAGTTGACTTAATATAATAAAAGTGTATCAATTTGTAGAGTACGTAAAAAGTTGATCACATGTTTGTTAAAAGAGTACATGAATTTGTAGAGTACGTAAAAAAAGTTGATTACATGTTTCTTAAGTGTACAATGATTCAAACGGTTGATAGAAAGCTGATTACAAGTAATATAAGCAAAATAAATGACTTAATAAAAACTGGATTACATGAATAGTAATGTAAATGTGAATAGCGTTAAAAGTGGATTATGCCGTAATTTAATGAACACTTTAGATAACGTGAAATTTTTTGAAAAAGTTGTTTACATGGAAACTTAACTCTGGTGATTTGTAGTATATTTTACGCCATTCTTTTGTATTATCAAATTGTTTAGAAGATTTAGGAGATGAATAAGTAACTGCAGTCTGTTGTTTATATCATTGCTACTTGAAATTACCGAAACTAAACTAAGGTTTTTTGAAGTGTTTTACTTCATTTGGTAACATTCTTCAATTATCTGTGCCCTCGCAGGAGCTTATATCTGAATCTTCACATTCACCTTCTTCATTTTTTATCTTTTTTTTGGGTTGCGCTTTTTTGCTGCTGATAGGTTTTCTTTTACGAGGCTCTGTTTCATGATTCGAAGTGCCGGCGGTTTTTTTCTTAATTTTCAAGGCCGCGTTTGATTTGGAAATCCCATTTGATTTTGTGGTAGGTACGTTTTCCGCTAACATTTTCATCCCTGCAATGATTTCTGGCAGGTGTCTGGGAGCAAAAAAAAATCCACATTTGGTTGGATGTAGATCATCGGTAAATAATCTAATGTCAATACGAGGTTGGTCAGCCCGGAATTCGTTGAAGCTTAGTATGATCCGCGCTGGTGTATGCTAGAAAATGACAGTTTGATTAGGTGTTAAGGTTGATGATGTCGTTAAAAATCCCGTGCCGGTAGTATTTTCATCCGCCATGTTCGGTACAGAAAAAATTAAAGGAAATATTTTTTCAAAAAAATTATTTAGCGGATTGGTGCTTGTGTTGACCACGGTATGGTTTTGCAAAATAGCTTTTGCTATGGGATTAATAGCCATTTGTTTGATAAAAGTTGCAGTTTTTAACAAATCTTGTACAGTAGAACCGAAGTGCATCATTAGTAGTAACGTTAAAGTTGTAAAATTATGTTAGCAAATAACAAAATTACTACATGATGCCGCACTAGAAATAGCATGATGTTTTTGTTTGAATCCATCGAGTTTGCAACAGTAGTACGTAAACATTTTTTAATACTTCGTTTTATATACTTATGCTTACCACAACCGCCACTGGAGATTTTTTCATAAGATCTTCATATTGTGTTCTTTCAGCGGATTCCTGCTTGAGTAAAACCAAATTATCTGTCATTTTTTGAGCACGCAATCGCATTACGCTTTGCACAATTCTTACTACTTATAGGTCATCCGATATTGATGAGCGATTGTAGAAAGGTAACGATAATCCGATTATGAGCGTCACTCTGAACAACTATCTAAAGACGGTGGGAAAATTTTTCTGCATCCTGTACGAGTTTGAAGTGTGATATCCTTTATTCTATTTAACGTGGGAACGATTGTAAAAGTTGATTATGACCTTGCAAGTGATTTGATGTGGTATCGATGTAATCAGCGTAAAATGCCGTTCATGGGAAGAGATAGTTTCACTGATTACGAGCGTGAGAAAGATATTATTGCCCGATGATAATTTGTCGCTTGCGTTCGGGAACACTATTTTTGATCTTGATAGTTGATTAAAATTATGTGAAACCTTGATAATCTACTACGTATACTGATGGGTTTTGCTTTCAGAATTGAAAAAAGATTGCATGAGACTTGATTATTATCACTTTCTCATACGCTACCATTTAAAATACACGAACAGTTTTAAAAATTGTTGCGTTGGTAATTTTTCATCGGTGACAGACCTCTGAAGAATGTTACCAAGTCCATATGCCTTACGTTGTAATGATGTACCATCTTACCGCTTATTATGGACTAATAGTGAATATACAGATAGTAAAGAGCTGGCTGCAAAAGGGTTTTACGAAATTAATATTCAGGATGCTTACGTCTGCAGATTTTGCAAAAATGTGGATCTACCTACTACCAGTAAAAATGATCAGTTGGATTCACATCTCAAGACGTATCCACACTGTGCGGAATTGCAACAAAGGTTCAACCAGGCAGATATATCTTTCACGCCTAGCAAGTTCTACTTAACTCCTAACCACCGAAAATACGAAAGCCTCAACGAGCGCCTTAAAAGCTTCCGAGATTGGCCAAAACAGTGAAATTCTTTCACGCCTGCAAGCATGAGTGAAGCGGGATTCTATTTTCAAGGCCTTGGTGATATTGTCAAATGCTATTTCTGTGGATTATCGGTAAAACGCTGGGAGTCAAAAGATGTACCTCTCATCGAACATTTAAAGTTGTCACCAACGTGCCTGTATGCCATTCACTGCCTATCCCAACACTACATGGCAGAACATCCAAAAAATCTACAAAAACCCTCGAAATTGCTTTCAGTAATGCGGTGTAAATCCGATGACCTTGCACCTACTTATTCTGATGTGCCACCTTCAAAAGTTCCTCCTCCACTATCACCACTATCACCACCAATACCACCACCATCACCTTGCACCCAGCTAAAACCACTACTGACCGCAAATAAGCCGACAATAAACCCGCGTACAACCCTGATTCGGAAAGCACTTAATGCCGGTTATCAACATTCGTTGATTATGGATGCCATAAGCCTTCACTGTGAAACTGCGGAAGTGCCGGGAGAGTTGAATTATTATACTCTTCTGAATATTCTAGAGTATATAAAAGTGCAGCAAAATCCTAAAAGTCTTCGCACTGCTAAATTATGGTGTCCGCGTTGTGCTGAAGATACTACTCATCAAAACGGTGCGTTGGATTTTACGCTCCCTGACGGTACACACTGGGTTAGTAGTATTGATTTTAGAAGTGCTTGTGATGTAGAATTTTACGAATGCTCACTGTGCGGTAGTTTAGATCAGATGGATGGGAGTGTAGTTGACGCTGTGGAAAAACACGTACTACTTGCTTGATTTTTAATTCAAACGGAAGTGTGCTGTGCTATTGCAATCTATTTATCATCATTTGGTTAACACTCTTGTACGGTAAGAGCTGATTGATTATTTTTACTGTTGAAAGTTTAGCACGTGTGTACTTTAAAAGAAAAAAACCAATTTGCCGCAGTCATGTACCGAAAATATATTCGTAGAATAGTTACAAAACATTTCACCTTACCTGAAAGTCAGGATGATGTCACACAATCTTTCATAAAACGTAAAATACGTCAGGAGTGAACTCGCTTTAAAAACTATAGAGAGAATCTTGCAGGAGCACATTACATATCATAGTGCAAGAGCACATTGTATTGTACGAGCATATTATAGTGCAGGAGCACATTACATATTATAGTGCAGGATTTCTTATATAAGAAATCTCCGACTCAACCTGTCTTTCCGTTGGTTACCGCCAATGTGCATTTTGCATACTACATAGTAGTGTATTCGACCGGCCGGTCTAGCCGTGCCGTGACCTTTCGTTATTTTGTTCTGCCATAAAATTATTCAGTAAACAGTAGCCTAATATTGAGCATCCAGTAATAGTAACGTTTTTTGAGCTCTAGTCACAGTAACAATAATTAAGGTTGTTAAAATATCAGTAAAAAGTAAGTAGTGGTAAAGAAGAATTGTGACAGCCAATAACTCTACCGGCAACACGATCTTTATTGGAATTTCATATGATTTCACCATAAATTGGCTCATTACCTTCGCGCTTCGCACAAAATTAACTTCTTAATAAAAATTTTGTACTTGGCTTACTGAGTATGTAATCTTTAGGGTCAATTAGTAAACAATAAGTGAAAGTAGCGATAGTGTGAGGAAAAAAAGCAAAAATAAAGTAAGTAAAAAGTTTGCAACAGTAATTAGTGTTTATTTCAGGGTTTTATTTTTACTTTATCTTCAGTATTAAGATTAACAAACAGCAATATAAACAAGGTGATATTACTCATGATTAAACAATTTACGTACGCATGTTATATACAAGAATACGCTTAAGGTGGTTATGTTTTACAGCAACTGCATGCTGAACTGAACATTTATCAATATTCATGCAGTTAAATGACAACAAACGCGGTTGCTAAACAATCAGTAGTAAGAATACAAAATGTATTTTAGGCTTTTCTGGAAAACATTGTCATAGATAAAGTAAACGCCAGTGTACTGCTCTATAAAGTTTGGTGCAGAATCATTCATGCTGCTATGGTAATTATATAGTGTTGCAAACGCAGTAAAATAATTTCGATGATAAAACTAAAGTTAGAAAAAACTTGAAAATATCAAAATTATTTAAGCAGCATCGATAATATTGACATTTAGAGATAACGTAGCGTACTCATACGTAATGTGCTTCCCTATACGCTGAATGAGGACGAGAAACAAAATGCACTATCACAATGATCAGCGAATAAGCTGAACATACGAACATGCATATTCTTGTTCGTCCGTATGGCTGCTTAGAACATTCCGATGTTGTCACAAATTATACGCAGATCTAAATCATCTGGATTTTCCTCCACTAGCATGACGAAGGAATCTAATTAATATTTATTTTAGTCAATCGCATGCAGGTAAATACGTGCCTGCCACGACGATGGCAACCGACTGTCCGGCATAGAAAGATTGACGAACAGCTAAAAATTCTTCCGCGGTCGTGGGATAGCTGGGATCATTTAGTGGGAATATGTTATTCGCACCGGGAATATCGGATGCCGTAAAAACTCGCACAACACCCGGCAGTGCCTATTGACACACAACGGTCATCTTCACTGTTGCCTATTAAGAATTGTATGGAATGTGTATCTAATTCTTACCAAAGCCGGAGCAGCATCAATCCGGAAAATGGTAGCATTGGCCTGCGTAGTGAGGACCAAAGCGGCGTGCAGCATTCCTTCTTGTTCAATGTCCGCAATGAATTTCGCTTCGCCGGTGCACTGGATCATGGATTCAATCTTGGGAATCGGCTGCGTCAATGGCCAATCCTCTGGTTTTGTAGGATAAGACTGCGACCCGATGGATACCGGTCGCTCTAATCGCAAACTGGCAATAGCACTGCGATACCTCTCATCAGCATGATCACCCACAATCATCAAAGCAAACTGCAAATTTCGAAAAAATTAAGTATAATCTGAGAAATGTCTTAAAATGTGGCCGTGCACATACCTTGTAAAGCAGCGACAGGCAGATAGACCTTTTGTTTTCCGGTTTGGCTTCCGATGGATCCATCACTGGGTTGACTTCTTTGCTCAGTATTTGCAATGCTTGGTGCAACACATCAACATCCCCAAGGTCCTTGCCAACCAGAAAACCTTCCGTTTGCGTAGCATGAGTCTAATTTGTGGCAAAAATTGCTTTATATCCAAAAATTCTTAATGACCGCGATCCTTACAAAGGTTGGCGCAATATTGCCGAACAGTATACAAGGCTTCTCGGATATCACAAAATTTCCTTGTGTCTTGTCGACTCTTGCTCGGAAAGCTGCATTTACAATGGCATGCGCATTCTGAATAAAACGACATGATTATTCATTAAAAATGTGGAATACTTTCGTAAAGAGAAACATGCGTACCTGAGATCGTGGCATGATCTTATAAGTTTTAAAGTAATAATCCTCCCCAAAAGATGGTAATTCTGCCCGCAAGATTATTTTTCCTTTTAAATTAGCATTTACGAAGTCTTCGCCTTTGCAGCTTTTATTGTCCGGTCCTGAAATTAAAACCAAATCACTTAAGAGTTGTGGAATCCAGCTTACTGCGCCATTAATATTCACATAATCTTCTGTACTCTGTAGTTGCCAATTAGAAAAAAAATCAGCACTGCACTTTTACCGGTATATATTGTGGCATTGGAAACAACCATTGTAAGAAATGTCTCCGAAGGAAATTCTTTATGGCGATTCTTCATGGCCATATTGCCGCCCCATGAGCCAACCTAAATATTTGATCATTATTTTCTGTTACATGAATGAAAAAATGTTAAGTTTACTAACATTGCGAACAGCCACGTGGGCCGTTTTGCTGAGCAGCGCGGTTAGTTCCGACAAATAATGATATCCATCACTGACCGACAGTTCTTTGTAAGTCTCAGTAACGTCCCGCAACAGTATGGCGGATCCAAAACGAAATGTGTCCTCCGTGAAGCTGATTTCATATAAATCAGCAATTTTTTTTAGGTCGATATATGAGTCGTACGGTCCATCATCATATACACCTGGTATATGATATTTGCTGAGATGCCTTCCAGTTCAGTACTTCTGATCACGCGAAGGTTACCTTTGCCAGTATGCCCAACGACGTAGTAAACATTTTGACCAGTCACCTGCGGAAGCAGATGGTGGAGCGAAGTCTTTTACGGCGTTGCACAAAGGTCGCACGTAGTGATGACCTTTGAAGCTATTAGTCGAACAGGCATTCTCAAGCTTCCGGCACAACGCGATAACCGCATCGGAATTCTGCGTCAAGTAACCGGCTTTACCTGTTTGTTGTATTAGCAATAAGCTATGAGGTTACGCACTTCGATATCAGGAATTCCCGAACCGGCATCCGCGGAAGCAAACGACTTAAAAGCGTCCAAAATGGGGCGGTACCCTGCAAATGCAGTCACTTTAAAACAGTTACCAGTTACCTTATATAATACCAATCGCGCTCCAAAATGGAACAATTTATAATAGGGTGTTATTTATACTGTATATAATGTATATTCCGTACCCGTGCAGCGACAGATGTTTCCATCGAACGAGTTTTCCACATCTTGCTGTCGCAGATTACCGTTTTGTAACATACTGTAACAGCATAACGGATGAATAGTACGTTTGTTTAACTCAAACTTACTTTGCGCATGTGCATTTACAGTTGCACGGATGCGCAAGTGTATATGTGCATTGCCCATATGCGCACATGTATACGTGCATTTGAAATTGCACACATGCGCACACGCGACTCCTGTGCATATGCATTTGCACGCATATGTGCCTAACTGGAAATAATTTTTAAAATTGATTTGTTTACTGACTGCACAACAGTGTCGTGATTGAATGTATGATGTGCCATGGTACATGGCCGAGGTACATGGTACAGGTACCGTTACCATGGTAACGCGTACCTGGTGCCAAGTACCGGTCGTGTTCACGACCATGTAGTTACCTTTCCGATTAATGAAACCTTGTTAGTTGTGAAATTCCAGTCTATGGTTTTTTACTAAACGCTATAAGAGCTTTCGTACACAGCGTTATTACTAACGCTTTTTAAAGTAATGTCTACCATACGGAGTACGTCCTTTTGATACGTGTTTTTTGGGTCCATTTTGAAGACAAATTGTCTTCAGCTGAGTTATTGGACTGTAACGCCTCACCGTCATTGGCGGACTGGACTGACACCTACAAAAATGTTACCGATCAGATGGGTGGACAGAAACCGGTGGAGCAAGACCTTGAAACTCAAAACCAACCGTTTGACATCGATGACCACGTTACTATCGAGAGCAAAGGCGAAAAGTTTTCCAGAAAGTACAAGCTCCATTTCAAGTGTTTTACCGTAAAAGTAAGTATTTCTGAAAACATTATTTATACTTTATTTTTTTATTTTTTATTAATTATCTATTATTATATTACCACTTTAGCTACTACAGAGACTTTGAAAAGCTGATGGAAAAATGTTTTTTTTTTAATTTTACAAAGATTTATAATTTTTTTGGTTTGATTTTGTGACATAAACGTTACGCAACCAGACTTTTAATCAAGGACCTACAATCTTGAAGACAAACAAACTATCACAAGGCTTCACGAAATGATTCGACTGATGATGATGCAACAGCAGTAGCCCAACACCATTTATCACTTGAGGTACCGTTATAGGTATCCCAGCTGGATCATGTTCCTTTTGTGGAAATTCCAGTCGTACTTACCTTTATTTTGGAGCATATCCTTCAGTCAGTTTTGCGTGACATCGGTGACAAAGATTTAGTTCGTCTGCGTATTGATTCCCATTCATTAGGGCGACCAATTTGGACGCCACCTATTCAACGCTCGCAGCTGGATGTCAGACGATGGATGGACGAAGTTGAAAAGGTACTGCAGTCAAACGAGGACTTTGTTCTTGACGACACTTTTGAAATATCTGTACAATACACGGAGCTGCCGAATAGTGGGTGACGGCGGTTAATTCCGCAATTGTTATATCGGAAATTGAAAAAGATGAAGCCTGTAGTTGAGATAAGGAATACCGATAATATCTGTATGGCTAGAGCATTAGTATTTAGCAAAGCGTATGCTGACAAGGACAAGAAGCTGATTCGCCGACTTCGTCAGGGTAAAAAATTGCTAACCAGTGAAGCCAAAAAGCTCATAAAACGAGCAAAGCTGACAGAGAAATCCTACGATCTCACGGATATCCCACTGTTTGAAGCTGTGCTACCAGAATATCAGATCGTCGTGGTCAGTTTATACCAAGGAAGCAGCATTGTTTACAATGGAAAGTTCAAGGAGCGTCACATTGTATTGTTGCTTTATGGTCACCATTACGATTTGCTTTTGTCGCTACCGGCTTTCTTTAAAAATCGTATTGATGTTACCAGTGCGGTAAAGGTTATTCGGATCGTCGCATTCATCGGTGCAACAGTATCTGTCACCAATGCTTGCGCACTAATTGCGAGCGGGACACAACAAATCCTATACACTGCACTGACTGCAATCGTATATTTTATGGGCAAGGATGTTCTGATCGCCACAATTGGTTCCCAAAAAGAGTCGTGGGAAATCATTGTGCAGCACAGTCAAAGTTTGTTTGGAATGCCGGTGTGTGGTGTCAATGCGGAACCGGAAAGGATCAAACAACCACCAGTGCGGAGAAATATACTGTAAGAATTGCAACATTCACGTATTACCGGAAAACCATCAGTGTTTAATGAGACCGCACACTGTGACCCCGGAAGAGCGTCAAAAGAATGAAAATGCTCAGTTTTTTTATTTTGATTTCGAGACCTACATCCAAGATGGCGGCCAGTTGGTTCCGAATTTAGCCGTCGTGCAAGATGATACGGGAACTCAGTGGACTTTTCCTTGTACTGATGAACCATTAGGAAAATGCATAACGGACCCACTGTGCGAATTTTTGATTAGCGAGAACCACAGGGGGCATTACATCATCGCGCACAATTTTAAAGCGTTTGATGGATATTTTATCCTACAGTGGTTGTTAAAAAATGGAGTGACCCCTAAAGTTATCATGAACGGTGGAAGATTTTACAACTGGATGTCCTGGGTTATGACATTTACTTTCGTGACAGTATTAATTATAACCCACAAAGCCTCTCCAAATGGCCCGCGACATTTGGATTACCGGATATCAAAAAAGGAACTTTCCCTCATAAATTCAATCGTCGCGAAAATTCGGACCGTGTTGTGCCGTATCCCAGCATGGATGAATATGGCTTCCAAACAATGGACAAGAAAGCGCAAGTCTCTTTTAAAGAGTGGTACGATATCGATGTCAAAACAAAAAACGGCCTTTTTGATTTTCGTAAAGAATTTGTTGCTTACTGCGAAAATGACGTCACTGTCTTACGGACCTGTTGCCAACAGTTTCGCAAGCTGTTTATGGAAATCAGCAACGGCCTTTGCCCTTTCACTTCAGCTTTAACCATCGCTGGACTGTGCGACTTGTATTGGCGTTCTTTCATTTTAAAACCGAATCAAATTGGACTGGTGCCTCAACAACGGTTCGCCCGTAATCGCTTGCAGTCGGTCAAGGCCATGAAATGGATTTCGTGGATGGAAGAAGAAGAAAAATGCGAAATTCAGTCTGTGATTTCCTGCACCGAACAGAAAATTGGTCCTTATTACGTGGATGGATACCGGCCTGACACAGGCCATATCTACGAGTTTTATGGATGTTGGTACCATGGTTGTCCGTCCTGCATGGGCCCAGAGACGGTTCACCCCTTTCGAAACCTTCCAATGCGTGACATTTATAAAGAAACGATGGACCGCGAGCAGTACCTCCGCTCATTGGGTCACCAGGTAACCACTGTTTGGGAACATGATTTTGACGCAGACCTTCGTATTGATTCCGAAATGCGCAACTTCGTCAATGATATAAAGATTACCGAACCGCTGAATACTCGAAACGCTTTCTACGGTGGCCGGACAAATGCCGTGCGATTGTTGCATACCGTGACTGCCGATGAAAAGATCAAGTATTTTGATTTCAACAGTGAATATCCTTTTGTTAACAAAAATCGCCGGTATCCGCTAGGACATCCTATTATTTTAACTAAGAACTTTCAAGACATTCGTGAATATTTTGGTTTGGTCCATTGCACAGTACTACCACCGGGAGATTTGTGGTTACCCATTTACCATACCGTTGTAACGGCAAGCTGACCTTTCCGTCATGTGCAACATGTGTTAAAGAACAGAACACGAAGAAATGTGCCCACTCGGATTTGGAAAGGGAAATAACGGGAACGTGGTGTACGCCAGAGTTACATGCTGCATTGGATCGGGGATACATTGTCACCAGGATATACGAAGTGTGGCATTACGAAATATTCGATGATCATCTTTTCAAAGAGTACATTGACCGCTTTTTGAAGATCAAAACTGAAGCCAGCGGATGGCCAGCGGGTATCACTACAGAAATTGAAAAGCGAAATTATATTTCTGATTTTGAAGAACGAGAAGGAGTCAAGTTAGATTACAGTAAAGTCAAAGATAATCCCGGCCTACGTGTTTAGCCAAGTTATGCCTGAACAGCTTTTGGGGCTGACTAGGAATGCAGGACAACAAGCTGAATACCATGTATATCCATGACCCCAAAACATTTTATGAAATGCTATTTTCCGGCAAACATCATGTGCATTCGTGGGATCTTTTTGATGACAATGTCGTGCAGATTACGTACACCAAAGAAGATGGTTTTATCGAGCAGAATCCGAATACGAATGTCGTCTTGGCCGCGTAAGTTTTGTAAAAACTTTACTCAGCAAGCAGAGGTTTACTCTATTTTTACATTAGGTTTACCACCTGTTGGGCACGACTGCATCTGTACCACTTTATGGATATGGTTAAAGAGCGTCTCTTGTATTTTGACACAAGTAGTTGCTGCACTAAATTTTTACTGGCATTTTTATGGCAATAATTTTCTGTAGATTCCATTTTCTTTGTGTCGAAACCGGGATGGCCTGACCCTCCTACTGGCCGATTTTAGGGCGATTTAACCGATGAACTAAAACCTGGACAACACATTACGCAATTCGTCAGCTTGGGCGCCAAGACCTATGCCTACAGGACAAACGATGGACATTCGGTAGTCAAAATCAAAGGATTCACCATCAATAATCGGATTAAAGAGAAAATTAACATGGAGTCCATAATGAATATTCTGCACATGTCTGGTAGTATTGATGTGCATTATGATGACGTTATTAAACGCATCAAGTCGAAACTTGTTCTGTGCAATAGTGATGTAACTGAGCGTCTGCAAGTGACGTATGATAAGCGGCGCATTACGCAAGACTGGAATACTGTTCCATACGGATATACGGTTGAATAAATTTATTGAGTAGCATGAAACTGCTGTATCATTCGACCGACAAAGTCCACAGATATTTGTATGTCATGCATTTCTTTCAGTCCCAAAAAGTTGCACTTTCCCGATGGAAAGAGCACAGCAGTACACCAAGGCAACTTTATACGTAAACCACTAAACAGTTCAGGAGTATATTCCAACTTGTAATGTTGGCTAAATTTCTCAATATGGATACGCGTACCAAAATCATGGGTGA